TAATGGGAACGCGCCTTGACTGGTGGTAACCGACACGCCTGCTTGTAATTGTTGCAGTGTGGCTAATCTCAACTTACACTAAACTTAAGTATGTCTTAAATAATTAATATTTGTAATGCAAAAGACACTTATTACATTAGTGTTACAAATTTTCTTAAAAATGATTTCAATTTGAACCATAGGTTAAGATGCTGTCAAGTGGGGTTTAATACTACAAAGTTATAGTAACCACTATATTACAAATATATATATAATAATTGCTTATCATCGGTCAGATATTGAGGTAACGGCGGTAAGCCAGTGGGTCGTGAAGGTACGGGATCAAGGTGAGTGACGTGTAAAATATGACACCTAAACAAAGATACAGGTTATTGAAATTGTTACAGTAAAAAATAAAATAGTAATTGATAATTATTATACATAAAATCGAACACAAATTTCGGTCTGATGGAATTCGAACCTGGCTGCGTTAGTGCCATACCTGACAGTGTCGTCCAGGCAGAGAATAAGAAAGTAATGAGAATGGACACTCTCCGCCCCTCCCTAGCTTTAGATACCACACCACGCCCCTCACATTGACGGAATGCAATAAGGCTGTCGGCGAGCCGTTATCGCGCCAAATATTGTACTAATTAGTGAATTAATAAGAAATATAATATTATATCGACATAAATAGCTAATTAACGTGTGAAATTATTAGGTTTCTATTAATAGAATTATAGATAACAGATTCGCGTTAGAATTTTCGGTATGTTGCCACTCTGACCACGTAATAAATAGTACGAGAAAGTGAAGGGTAACCACTTCACCATACATTTGCGCGTGTGCAGCACACTAGGCTGCTAACAGATAGACTGCATGTTTGCAGTAATTGCGTGAAGTCGTAATAAACTTCAAGTAGCCAAGATCTCGATTGCATGAAGTTGATAATGACTACACGCAGGCGAGATCTCGACTGCATGAAGTTGATAACGACTTCACGCATTAACTGCATGAAGTAAATCTCGACTGCTTGAAGTCGGTTTCGACTTCATGAAGTCGAGGTCGTCTGCTTGCGTTGTTAATGTGTGAAGTTAGGAAAATAGATATGAAATGCTCGTTAACGTGTGAAGTCGTTATCAACTGCATGCAGTCGAAGTCCACGCATTAACTGCAAACATGCAGTCTCTTGCATCATCATCAGTGTTAAGAGTGTCTTATCAATTTAAGCACAATTTAGTGCAAGGACTTTAAATCGGAAAGATCTAAGGGACTCTGCCACTGTGATCATCACCCTGAGCCATAGTTGACAAGTCCTGTATGTTTGTATTTAGAATAAAAAAAAGGCAAGTCTGAATTGTGGGGTACCAGTTTTTCAAATATGCTCATGATATTTTTTAATCTCTAAAAAGGATAGCAATGGATATAAGAATATAGGATCGCGGGTGCTAAGAGATATACGAGTATCGTCAGGAGCTTAAGTTCTCATTTTATTGAAATGAAATCAATGTTCACTAAAGAACAATACATTTAATTAGAAAAGAACATGTAATAATAATAGTGAAAATGTTACACATTACAAGAAAATATATATGTAAAAATAATCACATTTTATTACATGACGTTTTGTTGTAACAACTATCTCCGACAAATTATGGTATGGTATATCGGCTGCGGCCGCGGCCGGTTACCTGACACCAGATTGCGCCTCACGTCGCCAACAAGTGCAATTCGTGTAGATTAGTTAGATATAGTGTTTAATTATATTGTATGTATGTTAGTCCTTACGGTATATATTATATGGGTCATATGGCCTGAAATAAATAAATGAATAAGAATAAATAAAATGTAATTTAAATATTAATTAACATAACATAGTTTCACCCGCATCTTAGTAGCATTAGAGCACCTTGTGAAGGAGTTTACAAGTTCTTCTGCTATTTATCTATATGAAGCACTTTCGAATAAAATATTATTTTTTATTATCTGTTAGACACAAATTACCTGGTTGCGAACTAGTGAAATTTCCGGTGCTCTCAATGCGTAACGTAAACAATCGCTAGCTTTCTATCTGATACATTTAAATCAGAACAAAAAAAATCATTGTTATCTAATTTCGAGGTAAGTTTGTGTCTTTTTTCTATCGTGAAAATTTTTAGGAATTTTTAGGAAAGGTATTTTCACCCCGTATAGTGATTATATATTATTATCTATATATTTTTTACAAAGTAATTGATTCAACACTTTCAGTGTTATGCAGAATCAACCAAAGCCATTTGAGGTTGTATAGACTGTTAATAGCATCTAGCGACATCGAACTCCGAGCGTAAGTACTTCGCCACCGAAGCCACCTTACTAACCTAAATAATTATAGGAACATCTCTCAATGTAAAAAATGTCCCTATTAACAATGACTTAAATACCCCTAATCTGGTTTAGGGAAGTCTTAAGACTGCAGTGAGCAGCCCTTAATCCCCATTCTATAGCAATTAGGTGGCGATAAGACTTCTAAGTGGATTGCTCTTGTACAAACCAAAAGGTAAATTCGAGCTGGGGAGTTCGAAGAAGCGAATATGAAGTCTAGGCAGAGATACGTAATATATTGCGAAATAATATTACTAAAGTTTTAGTTATTCAATTAATGTACAACATATTTAAAGATTCACTCCATGAATCTCTTTAGAAACACGATTAAGTACTTGTAGTTTCCTCGAAAGAAAAAAAAAATCAGAAGTTATCTCTAAAATCATCAGTTTTTGAATAATAATAAAAGTACATCTGTTCTATAACGTATACTTCGTACATTTTCAAAATGTGTATTTGTTTTAATAATAAAAAGGTAATATCGAAATTCCGCACGCGGTCCATCCATACTAGCCAGAGCCGCCACGCTTCCCCTTTAGTCCTACTAGACCTGTGTCGGTCGATCATTTTTGATAACCCGGGTCGATCATGACCCATGCATAATGTGATTGGCTCAAATGATTCGATCATGTGTTCGATATTTTAGCGGGTCACCCGTCACTCATGAGATCATTGTGTCATTTAAAAGTGTCAAATTATACAATTAGCATTTATTCTTTCCTGCTGATGAGTAATGTGTCTATAGTTAAATGCATCATTGATAAATCAGAATTGTAAGACACTAAAATTTATTTCTAGGAAAAGTACCGATGTTACAAAACAAAAATTCATAACAAAAAACTTATGAGCATTCAAAATTATTATTTTATTAATATTTCAATATTAGCTAGTGCATTCGTAAATAAACACAACATGTCGAAAAATAGATTAAACTTACAAAATTGCCATGTAATTGACACTACGCCACGGAGCAATTTGGATGAATGACTGATAGACTCATTGATCTGTTAACTTATTGATCCGTTGACTCGTTAATCGATTGCTTGACTTTTTCGTTCAATCGGAAGAAGGTTATCGAACAAATGTTCGACCCAAACGAAGAGTGTGAAGGCGAACCGTGTCATGAGTGGGGACTTCACGTGAGAGTGAACGAGACAACAATAATGTTCTGAATGGTTGAATAATCTCCGTAATTATAGAGATAAAGTCGAATATTGCGCGCCTGACCCATGGAACTCTAAAATGGTAGGGTTATTTAGAAGCTAGTAACCCGGGTTATTGGGTCCCAGGTGATGTTCGAATCATTCGACGATCACGATCGACACACGTCTAAGTCCTACTTCAGCCGTCAGACGTTGAGGTTGCGCCGCTTGGGCTTATACATGCTTTTAAAAACGTATGCCATGCGCACACATAGGTACACGGAACGCATAGAATACCTAAAATCAGTTAGCATCAAAAGCTCGGTGCCCTCTAAAGTTACATAGAGAATTCAACCATAAGAACAGAGACGTTGAGTCGTATTATGTTTGAAAATCATTTCGTTAAGAAAGTGATGCTGATTCGAATGACTTTTCAAAAATCGAACTTTAAACTTTCGGCCGTTTATATCAGTAAATAAAATAAAATTGTTAAAAACCAAAAACAAAGACAAATTCGTAATGGTGGTTCTTCACATGGCCATATATTTATATTTGCTTATTTGATATATTTGGCAAACAATCACCATGGATATTATGTGTTACAAAGTATTTTTATATGGAGACATTTTTCTTTAAGTACTACAGAGAACCTGCTACATTTTGGTTTTCAACTGAAGCCCTATTGATAACCCTGCTTGTATAGCCCTGAAATGAATAACCAAGCGGGTACACTACAATACAATACATTTGTACGTATTCTTATTTCCTCTATGTTTTGGTTACGTAATTATATTTTCATAGGATTGTCAGAACAAATGCTTTTTTGTAAAGAAAAACAATCATGTAATTTTGTGGGTCTATGGTCCTGCTGAGCATAATATTTTTTGATGTAAAGAGAGTAAGAAAATATAGAGAAAAAGAAACAATTGTGACTGCATTAAAATAGATGTGAATTTACTATAAGTTACTAAGTCAATTAATAAAAACATCTAACAGAATTCAAAGTTTTTATATGCTGAAAGGTAACTAATGATGATAATGATGTTTGTAATAACAATACTAACTCATGAGCAAGTTATTTAATCAGCACCTTGTTATTCTAAACGGGTTAACTGTCTGTTGTTATTATAATATGTTATTTCGAGACGCGTGATAATTTAATAACAAAAAATCTAAAACACTCAGTAACATTAAAAGTGTTTTCTTGCCTTTTAGAGGAGTTGGTCTCTTGTAGACATTGACTTACAAATAAATGGACGACGGGTCTAATACAAAAACCACGAAAAAAATGTCCCAAGTCAACCTATTTAAACGTAGTGACATGTAAAGGAATATGAAAAAGCTAAAACGTTGAATTTAAATTGTAATGTCATCGCAGTACTGTCTAATTTTGCTTGCTTACGATCTGCTATACGGCGCTCTGTATACGATTTTAACGCCCTATAAGTTCGGACACTTTTTAGCGCGGACCCGACGTCCATATAATTGTAAGTCAATGCTTGTAGATGACTTACCATTAAAATATTTAAATAAAAATAAGGAATAATTGAAAAATAAAAATTTATTGCGCACATAACATGCAGGAGACCAATTTGTTTTTAGAATCAAACCATTAGACACAACATTTGTTTTTAACGGCATAAAACATTCATGAAATCAAGTAGTTAGGAGTTAAGGTGCGCACCGTTGTCAATGACAAAGGACGCACCAGTGACGCTTCTGGCCTTGTCACTAGCCAAGTAGTAAACGAGGTCAGCAACTTCTTCGGGATCAGCAACCTTATCGAGCAGAGTACCCTTTTTCACAGATTCATAAATAAGTTGAGCCTCTTCGGCACTTATACCCATACTACCGACTAAGTCCGACTTTACCGGTCCAGGGCTGACTGCATTAACACGTACTCCTTTTGGCCCCAATTCTAATGCTATACATCTGGTGAAATGCTCCAACGCCGCCTTCGAAGTATCATATGAGAAACCAGTCACAGAATACGGTCTCAAAGCGGAAATGCTGCTAATATTGACAACATTTCCCTTAGTTTTAATCAAATGAGGTGCAGCAATATTGGTAAGGAGGACTGCAGATCGAAGATTAGTAAGCATAATTTGGTCAAAGGTATCCATAGCATTTTCGGCTAGAAAGCTTACAATGTTATTGAATCCAGCGTTGTTGACCAGAACGTCCAATTGCCCATAGTGGCTTATTGTTTCTGATACAATTCTTTTGACATCCTCGTCGTTTACCAAATCAGCGACTATAATATGAGGTTTATTGCCATTTTTTGCTGAGACTTCCTGGAGTTTCTTTGCGTTTCTTCCAACTATGGCAACTTTTGCTCCTTTACTTGTAAATTTCTCAGCTATGGCAGCTCCCATACCAGAGCTTCCTCCAGTCACAAGGACAACTTTGTCTTTCAGACTCATTTTGATTTATTGGTTTTAAGTAAAACTTGACCACTTTGTCAACAACTAGACGTGTTCTGATGATGTTTGATGCATTTGAATGCTTTTATACCGTTTTGTTTCACAGGATAATATAATTACTTTCCTGCTTAGTGGAGTGAGTTGTACTAGTGAATTAACTGTAAATTATGCTTCCTTCCCTATTTTTGAGCTGAGATAGGGTTTTGAGCCTAAAGGTGAATTAAGGTTACTTCGGAAAGCACGCACTGAGTAATAGTTAGAATATTTACTTACGTGTTAATATTGTAGGAAATCACATCCTGTTGGTGTTAGTGGCGTGGGTCAGAGTCAGTAAAAACAACTTTTAAACATTCTTGCAGGTTCTGTCAGATATAAAGTGAAAATGTTTTTTGCATTCAGTGTTACAATAATTAATGAATGAGTTCTAATGTCGTATTTTTGACATCAGAAAATTTGACTGTACATCCTTTGACTTACTACGCCTTATATTGATCAGCTGCTGGAAATATGTAGCAAACCTGAAAGTATCCCGCGGTCAACAGAAAAATCTTTTGAAAAACTATACTATTAGCTCTATATGACATATTTATGAAATAAATTGCATTAGAACAGGCACTTGTCACCTTTTTCATCAAAAGAAGGAAAAGTTATAAATGAAAAGGCTTTATGAGAGAACTTTTGACCAACCAAATAAATTGTAAAATAAATTGTATTCTCTGTAATTAGATTTTAAACAATATATTAAAAAAAATTATAAAAAGACAACAATGGTGAAGGGTAACATATAAAGTAATTAAAATAATGAATATAATGTAGAAACCATAGTAATAATGAAAGTAGAACATTGTGAAGTGGATATCATGAAACACAAAATGTGTGTGAAGGATACCCGACCACATTCCATAAAGGTACAATTGAAATAATATATATATATACATAGCATATCCTCTAATCAACAGCTTCGACCGCCGTGTCGGAGGGAAGTGGCGAATATACAAAAAAAAAAACCAAATAAACGGGTCAAAACTTGTAAAAAAAACTTTTAAGTCATGTAAGTCAAGGGTCTCTATCAATAGCTTGTTGATATATATTTATGTGATAAGTAAATAATATAAAAGTTTCTGATTTTCCGAATTCTGTAAATAACTACTGTTGCCACGAAATTCACACAACATCTATTATAGCAAGTCACTAATCGAAAATTATGTCGGGGTAGTGACTTAGATGGGTGTGTTATTTAACATCATTCTCTCACAAAATGTCTGCGATAAAGGTATAGTAAATGTAACGTCTCTTTTTCTCTTTCCTCGTCTTGCAGATTTTAACTTGATATTATCATATCAATTATAAAACTTTTATAATAAGGTCTCTTCCAAGCTACAGTGAGATCTTAGAATCAACTTTAGTGGTCCTACTGACTCTGATATTTGCATTGATATATTTGTCCAATTCTCTATGGTTTCATGATAACGTAATGTTAACGTAAATTCGTAGTAGCTCCTTGTGTAAACGTTCGTCCAGGGTAGTATATACCTATTTCTACCGCCAAGCAGTAATATCAGCATTACTGTGTACCGGTTTTGAGGGGTATGTGTGTGTGAAATTACAGGCCCATGAGACTTATATATTTATTCATTCATTTACATTGTAAACTTACAGCGAAATTATTATTAAAAAAAAAAAAAAAAAAAAAAAAAAAAAAATAGCCAAGTCGCTTACATGTCATAAACAGATAATTATAAATATATTTAATTATCGTATCACTAAGGGAATTTATATATCATGGTGATGGGCGTTGAGGCAGTACCCCTCAGATCTTTGCGATTTAAAGCTCTGAGTGGCACAGCCACTGTTATGGACAGGCGTGTAGCTTACCATCAGGCGCACGACCTGTTGGTCCCGTCACTTGATGTTACAAAAAAATAAACCGTAAATTTACAATATACCTAATATTTCCTGTACGTTGGAATCCATTACAGGATGACCTCTGAAAGGTCGCCAGGATTTTTAAAGGCTGATGCCACCCTTTAATACTAAGTTTTACTATGGGGACCCTTCCGGAATTTGAATGAATCTTTAAACATATTCAACCCAAATAACAGCGAATATTTTTCCACGTTTTCAGAGGGGTCGCCGCAGTAAAAGTATTTCGTATTGATGGGTAGAATTACCCCTTAAAAATTTCGCAGACCTTTAGTGGCACCTTTTCTATGTATATGTTTAACAACACCTATGTTACGGGTTTACGTAAAGAGTGAGCAGTGGAAAATTCATTCTCTCATAACAAATATACCTTCTATAGTCCAAGTCAAATAATCTTTATTTCATAGGTAAGCATATTATACTTGAAATAGTCATATTGATTAAACTCTAGTCATTCGTAAGGCATATTCCACTGAGAAGAATGAGCATGAATCTCCAGGGCTTGCTCTTTGTAAATAGACACTTGTAGACATTTATTATTTATAACGTTTATTTCAAACGTAGATCGAGACTACAAGCTAAACGGATCACTACCACGGATTTTTGTTATCCAAGTACGTAGAAACTGTATAATATTACTGGGTGTACACTCCGCACATAGGTTGGTGCAGCAAGCGATCAACTAGCTAGATCAGTAATGCTGTGTCTAATCTTTTTGTCTACATCACTCAATTGTTTATTTTTCTATTTGTTTTTTAAGTATTGTGTTTCTTATGTATTGTGGAGAAATAAATGTGTTTTTATTTTTTTTATTTTAAAAACCGTTAGTTTTTATTAAATAAATATAACCAATTATAAAGTTTTTTATTTACTTATAGTTGTAAACCTTGCGAATGACACATTTCGAATATCAACCGGAGTCTTATTATAGAAGCATATACATTGCCCCTTCAATATATAACAATGCATAGGGCTCGATTGTTCGTCGTAGCTACATCCCGGAAAACAGAGAACACGTTGAAACAATACCATCGATTGATCACATAACAAGCCATGATAACAGGTGATAGATTGCACGTCAACCACAGCGTCGACTCAGGGTGGATCAATCAACCTTTTTGCTCCATTGTTTCCCGGACTAATGTAATCTTTGGCTTGTCACCTCGGTCACGACCCCAACGGAGTTCGGGAATATTGTTCCAGAATTTCACTGGTCGATTAAGGGGTTAACTTTAGGTGTCATTTATATAGAAATTGATGTAAGTCACCATTGACTTACAAATAAATGGATGACGGGTCTAATACAAAAACTACGAAAAAAATGTCCCAAGTCAACCTATTTAAACGTAGTGACATGTAAAGGAATATGAAAAAGCTAAAACGTTGAATTTAAATTGTAATGTCATCGCAGTACTGTCTAATTTTGCTTGCTTCGCTGTCAGTCGAACAAACGAAGACTAAAGCGTGAATGACGCTCGCTCTATATACGATTTTAACGCCCTATAAGTTCGGACACTTTTTAGCGCGGACCCTACGTCCATATAATTGTAAGTCAATGTAAGTCACAGACAAAATGTGACAGGCTGATATATAAAGGCGGTGTTGTAATCCTAAAATGAGATAAAGAACCAAAAAAAATAGACATTTTAGACGTCTTAAGGATGCAAAATAGGTTATTTTTATATGACAACAAAGTACAAATGTTGATAAGTTAGAGTCCATACTGCCTCAGTTCGAATTCAAGTTTTTCCCGTACCATTACGGTTCATTCAGTTCAGGGTCGGAAAAAAAAAGGGTCGAGCAGCAGAAACGAAATTAAAGCCTTTTGAAAAATGTATATCGTATAATATACGTGTTTTATTTGGTTCAGTTGATACAAAAAAAAATCATTGGCATATACGTAAAGTATCTATTGAATATGGTGGTTTGCTTATGAAATTTCGAGGTAAGTTTGTGTTTTTTTTCTATATCGTGAAAATTTTTAGGAATGGTGTCTTCACACTGTTTAGTTATTAGAGTATATCCTTAATTTTACTATATATGTTTTTCAAAGTGAGTAATTCAACATTTTCACTGTTATGCGAAATCAACCAAAGCCATCTGGGGTACTATAGACTTTTGTAAATCTCATTGAAAATAATGACATCACTATTTGCAGTAAAAAAGGACAATAAACATTTATAATAATAAAACGCACTTCTCTCGTCAGCTTCGGGTAGCTACGAAGGAAGGAAGGACTTGGCTTAGTAACTTCATAAATTTGCCATCGGTGCGCTGACGGCGAAAAAAACCATTTAAATCCAATACGAAGATGTGCAACAAACACAGAAATGCATGGTAATTCGGTTTGTAGTTCAGTTCGTTAGGAGCGGTGGTCCCGGCATGGCAATAGACATTGGTTTAAGTCCAGTCAGACCGCAGGATTTTTTCTTTGTGTTTCATCTTTGTATTAATAATAATAAAATGCATTTTTTTATATTACCAGAGGCGTTACGAACAAGTTGTGCGCTTGGCCATAGCAGTTGCTTTAAATTGCAAAGGTTGAGGGGCACTGCCACTGCGCCCGTCATGGTACAAAAGTTGACAACTCCCATGTGCTTGTAATTTCAACAGCACCCTTACAGTAATATTCACGTTACCGCCTGGCGTTATAAATAGGTAAGGCAGTACTACCCTGGACGAACTCTTTCACAAGGAGCTCTACGGCTACTAAAATTGCTCGTCTTACACTATTCACAGCCCTCGCTGATATTCTACGATAGCCTGAAACGGTAAAGGACACACAAAATATTACTTAATAAAATTAGTTTTTGTTAGCCTGCAGTAGTGTCCTGTTGGGGAAAAGCCATTCCTTCGGACTTCCAACTCGCTCTATGAACCACAATCTCCAGCCAATTGCTCAAGAACGCGATTAGGTTATCTTGCCATCTTCGCCATGGCCCGCCCTGCCACCCACCGCCATCTTGTGGCACCCATAATACTAATCTTTATTGAGTCAATACAATTGCATGCTATCTTAAAAGTAGGTGATATTATTACATAAGGAACATGTTAAGATAAGCTACAAATGCTATTAAACTCTCTCTCTCTCTGTGTGTGTGTGTGTGTGTGTGTGTGTGTGTGTG